ACCTGGTGCTTATGCATCTTGGCTCGTGGTCGCCGGCCATGGTGGTGCGGCGGTCGCCGGCCTTGGTCCCCCGTGTACAGGTGGTTGTGGGCTTGGCTGGTGGCGCTATGGGGAGCGGAGAGGAACGATGGCACGAGGGGGATCAGAGGGGCGGCGCGCGGAGGGGCACGGCGGCGCCGGCGCTGCTGAGATGGAGGAGACGGGGGCGCATGCAGAGGAGGTGCTCAACTGGTGTAGCTCCGTCCGTGGGTGTCCGCCCGTGTGTCCCGCGTTGGGTTCATCCTCCGTCCGCGCATGCCCGCGACATGTCCACTAGGCGGACGGGCGACCCAAACAGACAAAAAGGGACAAAATCCGTGTTTTTTTGGGTCACTGCGTTGGAGTTGCTCTCATATGCTCCCACCGTGTCAAAATATAATCCTTGTTAGATTTGTTTTATGTTAAATTTTGTAAAGAGTGACCAAAGTTCATAAAATAAATATTTACAATATCAAATGTATAAGACTTAAAATATATTTCATGATAAATTTAATGGTAGTGATTTCATAGGGTAGATGCTGGCAAACTTTTTTACAAACTCTGTCAGAGCTTACCAAGTTTGACTTAAGACAAAACTAATTATGCACTAAATTTTGACATTAGATGGAGTATTATATATCTGGTAATGTTATCTGGCGAACTTTAGCTAGGAAGGGGTGGCAAGAGAACACATTTTCCTGACAGTTTTAGTTGCAACGAGAGACCAAACTGTGTTAGTTTTAAAAACAAAATGTCTTTCTCTGAAGAAACTATCATCCTATTATGAAGAAACTGCTACACCGCTACAACTAAACCTGACATCTAAACATTCGCAAATGCCGCCCCCTCCAGGCGAACGTTCGCCAGCTAAGCGGACCCTATTTATCATGAAAAACAATAACAAGCATTGATACCACACAAAATCGGCTTACCAAAGTAAAGAAAGAAAAATGAAGCTATCCACAATCTACCTGCCTCATTGCAACATCTTCAAAAACATACCATAAAAACCCTTAGCGTGGACTATAATCTGTTGGTCGATCGATATGTGACCTAACAATAGGTGCATGACTCTAAGACAATGCCTTCAAGAAGAAATCGCCACTTGCATGTTGTTATTGGCTGGTCTAACCAACAAGTTAGACTAGGTGCTATAGCCACCCAGAGTACGTAGTTTTTCGAGCCAACATATTTAACAAGAATATGACGTGCGAACATCTGCTACGCATATATGTGGAAGGATAAATCCCGGGGTTTCATCCCAAGAGAGTACAACCACGATGTTAACCGCTAATGGTGTGATCAACTTCTCTGTCGTTCTACTCATATAGAACTTACCGACCAAATAAGAAATCACCAGAAGATCTTATCACTGTCACACTATATCATCTTTGTTAGAAGGGAGAGAGGGATTGGTGGAATAGTTGTTCATTGTATTGCTTGAGCCTCGTGGGCATATATATAGAAGTACATGATCATCTTGGAGTACAAGGCAAGGTAGAATAATATCCTATGCTATCCTAGCTTTTCTATACAATCACGTTACCCAACATCCCCCCGCAGTCACAACGGTAGCGACACAAACGGTGAGACTGGAGAAGAATCCAAAGGCAAGCTAACGGACACCCCCCCCCCCAGTCGTAACGGTCGATGCATCGCTGAGTCATGGCTGGAGTGAAAACCGACGAGGTTGCTCAAGCAGGCGGTAGCCCTTTGTGCCTCGAGGTAGCCGAGAGCGTGGGTGGTGGAGTCGTGGTCGAGGTAGCCGTGCGAAGAATGTCGTGGTCGATGTCGAGTCAGGGTGGCCGGTGTCGAGGAAGTCGCTGTGGAGCCGCGGGCGCAAGGGGGCGCCGAGTTAGCATGGGCGCAGTGGTGTCGAAGTAGGGGTGCGCCAGGAAGATGATGTTGTTGACGACGCGTCGCGGCGGGTTTGCCAAGCCCGGGGACACATCATGGACGAAGGCACGCACCGGTGTTGGCAGCACCGGACATGCATAGACGGACGAAAACGAAGTTGACGAAGCGTCGCGCCAGGCTTGCCAGGCCCGGGGACACGTCGTGGACGAAGGCACGCGGCGGTGTTGCCAGCACCGGGCATGCATAGACTGGGACCTGCACAAGCTGTACGCCATGTCGAAGAAGTCGAAGAGGCCAGCAGAGAAGGACTCGACGACGGTTGCGGCGCCAATCGGCACGGGGCCAATGTCGCGCGCGGGTGTCGGAGTAGATGAAGCGGTCGAGGTAGATGACGACGACGCTGGCGACGGGCTGGTGCTCGACAAAGACGAACGTGGTGGACGGGCGGCGGCGGCGGCTACCGGGGTAGCTGCGACGGCGGCCGAAGAAGAGCGGCGGCGGCGGTCTGACGGCGGCGGCGGCGGTTAGGTTATGAGCGCGGCGGCGATGCTCGAAGTAGGCGAAGAACCCTAACAGCGTGACAAAGACCGGCGCGGACGATGGCGTTCCTGCGCCAAAGGAGGTGGTGCGGCGCATGCCATAGGAAGTCGACGCGCAGTGACGGCGGTGGACCGCGGGCCACGGCGCTACGGCCCGAAGGGGCGACGCAGCGGCGGCGGGCAGGTCGGGGCGATGACGGAAGACCTCGGGACGGTCGCAGGGACCGCGGGCCGCAGTGCTACAGCCCGAAGGGGCGGCGCAACGGCGGAGCACGGTGTGGTGCAACCGCGTGGACAGCCTCGAGACGGCGGCGTGGACCGCGTGCCACGCTCGCTACGGCCCAACGGGGCAACGCAGCGGCGGCGCGAGGGTCGGTGCAGCCACGGGGATGGCCTGGAGCGGACGGCCTCGAGGCGGCGGTAGACCGCGGACCGCGGCACTACAGCCCGAAGGGGTGACGCGGCGGTGACGCGGGTCGGTGCAGCCGGGAGAAGAACCACAGGGCGGCAGCGCCGCGGCCCGACGGGGCGACACAGCGGCAGCCCGTTGCTCGATCGGCGGAGGGGCGCACGGACTCGGAGACGATCTTCACGGGACCTGCGGAGGCGCGCGTAACTGACGGGCCAGGTCGGTCGCGCGGCGTAGATGAGGCGGATCGCGGCGGCGAGCGGGTGATCAAGCCGATCGCGCGCGAGGTCGGGGACGCCGCTCGGTGGAGGCGTGGTGGCAGCGGAGTCCGAGATGAAGCCGGCGGCGGCGGGCGGCAGGGAGGCTATGATTGGCCGCCGCATGGCGCGAGGCCGCCGGGTCGGGGTGATGCAGGGGTCCCGGTCGGAACAGGGCGCGGTGACGGCCGGCGTAGATCGACGGGCGGGCCGTCGCGCGAACGGCGGCGGTGAAGGGCCGCCGCATGACGCGAGGCCGCCGGATCGGGGCGACCGGCGGGCCGATGCGTGGACGACGCACGAGGCCGCCACGTCGGGGCGACCGACGGGCAGAAGCGCGGACGACGCGCGAGGCCACCGAGTCGGTGAAGAAGCTGGCCAATCGCGCCGGTGTTGAAGTAGAGACGCACGGGGTCAACGGCGGCGGTGGGCGACGCAAACCGGATCACATACACCGGAAAACCAAAAAGTAGACGCCGATCAAAGCGACCGGCGAGAAAGAGAAAAACACGGGGTTTTTGGATCGGGAAAAAGACTCTCTAGGGCAGCCGACCAACACGGTCGGCGGACGAACCCTAGGTACGGGCGACGCGGCCCCCGGCGGCGGTCATGGAGGCCGACTGCCCCAGGGGCGGCGCGCAGGTGCGGAAGCGGCGGCGGCTAGGGTTTAGGATCGACTTGCGATAGATACCATGTTAGAAGGGAGAGAGGGATTGGTGGAATAGTTGTTCATTGTATTGCTTGAGCCTCGTGGGCATATATATAGGAGTACATGATCATCTTGGAGTACAAGGCAAGGTAGAATAATATCCTACGCTATCCTAGCTTTCCTATACAATCACGTTACTCAACAATCTTGTCAAGGATTGTTGTGCATGCCATGCATGGTAGCACATAATAACATCTGCCACCAGATACATCTCCTCGAATGCCATGGCCTGTAAGGGCCGAATCATATCTGGCCTCAGCGGCATTCCCCGGTGGTGGCAAGGGAGAGGAGCACCGCTTCACCCACATGCTCCAGCTTACCCGTGGCATTGAGCTACCAGCAGGCGCACCTCCACACTAACAGTTGCAAAGCGCACCAGATCCCGATCGATGCGCAGGGCTTCGGATCCGCGTGCCCTCATCAACACACCATTGAGCAAAAACCACCGTTGTTCCCAATCACCGGACCGACCACTGTATCAACAAGAGAGAAAATCCCTGACACCTTTTAGTGCATGGCCCGCTGTCATAACAGTGTTGGCTGGCGGTAGTGATGACGAGGGAGAGGGGAGGAAGGTTGGCGGCACTAGGGTTCCCCCTTGTACCGCCTTAGAGGAAATACTAGCGCCGTCTGGAAGGAGGGGGTTGAGTCGAGCTTTGCTCTTCACGGGAGTGGAGTTACCTTTTTTTGGGACCGCCTTAGCTGGCGAACCTTCGCCATGAAGCGTGGCATTTGCGAACGTTTTCATGACATATTTAATTGTGTGTGGGTGACAGTTTCTTCAGAATAACAAGATATTTTCTCATATGAAGCCTCAAAACTACCATCCTACCAACAAATGTCATGTCGCTCTGTAGAAACTGTCGTGCCCGATTCATAAAACTACTCGAAAAACGTTCAAAATGCCACCCTCTCCCAACAAACCGCAACCAGATATAATTTCCGGTTTTTTTAACATGGAGTGGAGTTACCTTGGCGAGTCCATGCTCGTGGGGCCCTGACCACCGACCACGATCTTTTGCCCCCGGCGCGCCGTGCCGCACCATGATCCCATCGCAACGAAGCAAAACACTTCCCCTACCCTTATAAGCGTCGTTCCGGTCGCACTCGTCTCGGTATCAGAACCAAAACCCCACCACGCGCACGCTCGTTAGCTCTCTGACTACGCCAAGCGATCATTTTCCTAGCGCCGCGAAGTCTTCTCCGGGCGCATGGACGCGTCGAGCGCGAGCGGCGAGAGTGGAAGCGGAGGCGGTCGCGGGACTGGCAGGAGGTGGAAAGGGAAAGGGGTGACGCCGATACAGGCGCGGCGGCAGCAGCAGCTGGCGCCGGTCTTCGAGGACGCGTCCGCGGCATTGCTGCGCCCGCTCAGGAAGATCGGGAGGAGCCCCGACCGCCTCCACCGGACCACGTCGTCGCTCTCCACTTCCTCGTCGTCGGCCCCGGCCTCTCCTCGGTCTTTCCCCGCCTCCGACGCCGTCGCGCCTTCCGCGCGGCACATCTTCCCCTTCGCGTATGAGCCCTCGGCGACGACGGCGCGCGAGAGCCCGCAGCTTCTCCGGCAGTACTCCAGCATGTCCCAACCAGCGTCGCCGCCGCCGCAGCAGCAGCCTTTGCGGCATCAGCAGATGATCTCGTTCGGCGGTTCTCCGCCGTGCGCGACCCAGTCGTTCTTCATGCCAGTCGAGAGCGCGCAGCAGCAGCAGCATCTGCTGCGGTACTGGAGCGAGGCGTTGAACCTGAGCCCCCGCGGCGGCCTGGCCGGCATGCCGCCTTCGCTGTACCAGCAGCTGCTGCGGGCGCCGCCCCCGCCGCAGAAACTGTACCGCGGGGTGAGGCAGCGGCACTGGGGTAAGTGGGTGGCGGAGATCCGCCTGCCACGGAATCGCACGCGGCTGTGGCTCGGCACCTTCGACACCGCGGAGGATGCCGCCATGGCGTACGATCGCGAGGCCTTCAAGCTCCGCGGCGAGAACGCGCGGCTCAACTTCCCCGATCGGTTCCTCGGGAAGGGCCGCGCAGGAGGGAGCGGCCGCACCAGCGCCGCCAGCTCCGCTGCCACCTCGGCCGCCGCTGGCACCGCTTCCTGCTCATCGTCATCGTCCTCGCCTCCGCAAACTTCTGACGAGGCGGCGGCCAACACGCAGCAAGCTCCGCGGCAGCGGGAACAGGAGCACGCAGAATGGTCCATGCTTGAAAACCAACCACAGCATCCACCCCCAACGACTATTCCCCAGGATGGAGGCTCTCGCGACGCGGCTACGCCCTACTCGGCCGAAATGTTTCACTCGTCGGCGCAGTCCGGCGGCATGTGGGCTCAGGCCGACGAGTCATGGTTCAACACATGGGGCCCTGGCAGCTCCTTCTGGGACTACGAGATGGACGACAGTGCTCGCAGCCTCTTCATTCACCATCCTCGCTTCTCCGGTGAGGATGCCGGCATGTCGCATCCTGGCGCACAAGAAACACCACCGGCGACGGCAGCAGCAGGGACGTCGGACACAACATGCGATGACGTCCCGGTAACCTCTTCTTCTCCTCCTCCAGAAGCACACCAGGCTCCAAACTTCATGTGAAAGGTCTAAACATGCATACACATTCAAAGTTTGAACACCTTGGCGATCGATCCCGGTTAGGATTAGGACAGAGATGCACGCAGGTTGCAGTTTTTAAGACAATTCTGCGGCATCACGCACTTGCACATCACAGCATCGTTTCGGAAGCCATCTGGCCACACATTTATTTCCCAATACTACTTTTCTTCTGGAAACCACAAGGGAATCCTGTACCTTGGCTGCAAATTTTTGGCCAGCTTGACGTATAGGGTGACCAGTCAATCTCTCCTCCATTTACACATTTTAGCACATGTTGAATGTCTTAGATATTTGTTGTACGGAATAGTTTTCAATGTTGTTTGCTGCAAACCTCGTCGTTTCATACTTCTATGTGATGGCTCATATGATTTGATATCTATGCATGTTCTATTTATCATTGTACCTTGCTTTGAAACATTCCAACTATTAATTGTTCAGCTATGCTACTTGTAAGTTGCTTGTTCATTTTCACCTTTGGGTACATTTTCTTGGCTTTCAGGGTCAGTATCAGGCCCTTTGTGTTTGATTAGAGTTCTGAACCTGGTACAATGGCAGGATATGTTATTAGACTTATTAGCAAATCACAAATTACCTTAAAACAACTAGTTTGTAATTGAATCATGCAAATGACTTTTAAAAACACTAAATTCTCAAGTCGATTGTGCTACTTCTGGTCCGATCCACCGTTTGCCTATTTCCTAAGTCCTTATCACTGTTTTATAGCCCACTTCATCGGATCCCTACTAGGGCTAGTGATAAGTATCGAGGTGCCCTCATCTTTTGGTGTGAGCGATAACTCTGATTTAAAGTACCCGCAAAAAAAAAAAAAAGCGATAACTCTGATTTGGTGAAGATAGCTTTGACGACCATTCTGCAAACATGTGACAAATTTTGGGTTTTAACAATAGTTATTCAAACTCAAGAGGGTTATTGACGGTGTCGGAAGCATGGCGAACCCGACCACGAAGGTCCATTCCTGCATGCAATTGAAGGACAATAAAAGATAGTCTAAAATTGCAATTATGTATGAAGTGCTAGATAGATTGGGTTTTCAAAGATGCGCATTATGGTAGGTCTCGCGACAGTCATGCCTACAACTAAGAGTAGCATTAGTTGGAATTCTTCATCCAGACAAAACCTGAATCTCAGCCCTAGGGTTGGCGTTGCATATCTAGGATACAAGGTGTGGTCAAGATGGCATCCAAATCAAGGCGGAGACCATTATGGATGTTGGAAATATGCCCGCAATAATAAAGTTATTATTATTTTATGTCCTTGTTCGTGATTAAGCTTATATTCTATGCTAGAATTGCATTCGTTACTGGATATGAGATTTGGAGGAAAACCTAATCCCACGTGTGGAATAATAAACGTCAAAGAGATCCCTAGTCAAGCCTCACTCGACTTGATCATGTATTATTGATGGTCTTGTTTTTCTAAAAATGGGCATTGTTAATGTAACAACGATGCCAGCAATAATAATAACACATTGTTACAGTAACAATGGTGTTGGATAGGCCCACTTACAAAATACTATGATATATCACGTCGTCAATATGTTGTCGGTATTTTCTCATAATTTTGTGAACGTTTACTTGCGGCCTTAGACAATGAGAATGTCGTAGACCCGGATACTGGATTGTTGATACATGGTCAACAAACATTACTGTATAACTGGGTAATTATAAAGGTGACTTTCAGATAAGTTGGAAAGTATGTCATGGTCCTAGGTATATCAAAACTAGGATTTACCCCCTCGACGATGGAGAAATACACTCTGGGCCCACTCAATATGATAGTGTCCAGCATTGCCTGGCCGGTATTGTGACAAAGGAGTTATTTGCGGGGATACCGAAATATGAAAATGAGAAAAGAGTACAGACCAGTATTGAGGATAACTAGCACTACAAAATTTCGTCTATTCAGCGACAAAAACCCTGGCGATGAAACAGGAAACGTCGCTGAAAATCATTTTCTGTGATGGTCCACCATCACGAGGTGTTTCCCTCCCAGGGTAGCACCCTAGCCAACTTTGGCGACGTTCTGGCCAGCAATTCTACAATGCTTTTGGACGTCACTAGGCATGTCCATTTTTCTAGACGATTTGTAGTATCACAAAAAATGTTTCTTGTCACAAACAATGTTAGGCGGGTTTAGAAAAATACATAACAAAATGGCTTGTTGGTGTTCAAAACGTGCTCCCCCCGTTCGAAAATAGATGACCCAACTTTATACTAACTTTGTACAAAGTTGGGTCATCTATTTTGGAACGGAGGGAGTAGTACCTTATATTTTCTGCCATGATAGAGTTTATAACATATTAGAATCAAACTTTCGGGGTTTAGGGCTCAGATTCTCGTATCGAAATTCATTGATCAATTTTTCATACGTACACATTTCAGTGAACAATGAGAGCACAATCGGGAAAATATGATCACATAGAAATATATTGAGTTAAAAGTTGTACACTTAACTTCAAATAGTCTAGCTCGACAGCAAAGGGACCCCCAAGTCAAGTGGCAGTACTAAAAGTAATGAAAATATCTTTGAAGAAAAATAACCCATTAGCAGAAAGAAAAAATTGAGCCCTTGGATTCTAGCCAAGGATTGTTGCCTTTGTCGTGGTGATCGCCTAAATAACATGCCGATGGCGTGGTCACTGACTGAACTGGATGAAATGGTAGTACTTTTCATGATTTAGGCTGAAACTAGACTGGACATGAGAGGATTCAGTGGACAACTTCATAAAACATACGGATAATACTTAATATCATTATAAGATATGCAGAAGTTCATACATATTTAACATGCATATTTCCAAAACCTAACAGAACTACTTGAACTTATTCATCCTCATCACTGACGTCCTCCTTGCCGCCCTCATCATCCCAATCGTTGCCGCTGTCCTCCTTTGTCGGCCATCAACACTTCGTTCGTTGCCGAAAATTGCACCTTTTTCCGGAACCAAAATATGACTTTCCATATATAAACCTTTACCTCTCGACCATTCCGAGACTCCTCGTGATGTCTGAGAACTCATCCGAGACTCCGAATAACATTTGGTTACCATTCATCAAATATCCCAGTACTACTCTAACGTCAGCGAACATTAAGCGTGCGAACCCTACGGGTTCGAGAACTATGTAGACATGACCGAGACACCTCTCCGGTCAATAATCAATAGCGGGGCCTGGATGCCCATATTGGTTCCTACATATTCTACGAAGATCTTTATCGGTCAAACCGTTATGACATCATACGTAATTCCCTTTGTCTATCGGTATGTTACTTGCCCGAGATTCGATCGTCGGTATCTTCATATGTAGTTCATTCTCGTTACCGGCAAGTCTGTTTACTCGTTCCGTAATACATCATCTCGTAACTAACTCCTTAGTTTTGCTTGCAAGCTTCTTATGATGTGTATTACCGAGAGGGCCCAGAGATACCTCTCCGATACTCGGAGTGACAAATCCCAATCTCGATCCATGCCAACTCAACAAACACCTTCGGAGATACCTGTAGAGCATCTTTATGATCACCCAATTATGTTGTGACGTTTGATAGCACACAAGGCATTCCTCCGGTATCCGGGAGTTGCATGATCTCATGGTCAAAGGAACATGTATTTGACATTCAAGAAAGCAGTAGCAATAAACTGAACGATCATATGTTAAGCTAACGGATGGGTCTTTGATACGTCCATTTGGCATCATGCTTTCCTACTATTATTTATGTTGTTTTATTGTATAATAATGCTTTTTGGAGTAATTCTAATGCCTTTTCTCTCATAATATGCAAGGTATACACAAAGGGGGAGAATTCTGGCAGCTGGAAATCTGGACCTGAAAAAGCTACGTCAAGTTACCTATTCTGCACAACTCCAAATGAACTGAAACTTCACGAGGTTTTTTATGGAATTAATAAGAATTTTTGGAGTCAATAAGTACCAAAGGGCGCCCACCTTGGCGCGCCAGGGAGCCCAGGCGCGCCTTGGTGGGTTGTGCTCACCCAGGCCCACCTCCGGTGCCCCTCTTCTAGTATATAAGTCATTTTGACCTAGAAAAAATACGGAGGACTTTCGGGAAAAAGTGCCGCCGTCTTGAGGCGGAACTTGGGCAGGAGCTCTTTTGCCCTCCGGCGGAGCGATTCCGCGAGGGAACTTCCCTCCCGGAGGGGGAAATCATCGTCATCATCATCACCAACAACTCTCCCATCTTGGGGAGGGCTATCTTCATCAACATCTTCAACAACACCAACTCCTCTCAAACCCTAGTTCATCTCTTGTGTTCAATCTTTGTACCGGAACTATAGATTGGTGCTTGTGGGTGACAAGTAGTGTTGATTACATCTTGTAGTTGATTACTATATGATTTATTTGGTGGAAGATTGTTCAGATCCATTATGCTATTTAATACCACTTTGATCTTTAGCATGATTATCATTTGTGAGTAGTTACTTTTGTTCTCGAGGTCACGGGAGAAATCATGTTGCAAGTAATCATGTGAACTTGATATGTGTTCGATATTTTGATGATATGTATGTTGTGATTCCCTTAGTGGTGTCATGTGAACGTCGAATACATGACACTTCACCATATTTTGGCCTAACGGAATGCATTGTGGAGTAGTTATTAGATGATGGGTTGCGAAAGTGACATAAGCTTAAACCTCAGTTTATGCGCTATTCCGTAAGGGATCGATTGGATCCAAAAGTTTAATGCTATGGTTAGAATTTATTCTTAATACTTTTCTCTTAGTTGCGGATGCTTGAGAGAGGGTTAATCATAAGTAGGAATTAAGCCAACATGATGAAAGTGACTGGATGAAATTCCCGTGTACCCTCAAGAACACTTTGCTTATCATAAGAGACCGTTTTGGCCTCTACTTTGCCTCAAAAGGATTGGGCTACCTTGCTGCACTTTTGTTACTACTATTGTTACTTGCTCATTACAAATTATCTTGCTATCAAACTACTCCGCTACT